ATAAAAGGTAATTAGATATATTGAAATGGGTGCGGCAGATTTATGTCGGTAGCTTTTGTGTTCCCAAATAGAGGGCACAATAGTAAACCCCCAATTCTGTAGAGGTTTCCAACATTAGCGGCCTCTTACGATCACGCAGTGGGTAACAGCAGGTGTATTCTTTTCTCGATCCACGACCTCAAGGGGTGTCACAGCTGCCGGAAGTTAGGTGATTCTCAGATTAGCCATGTGCCATTATGATACCTAAGTACAACAACAGATCACATCCTGGTAATTGTAAGGACAATTAAACCGTGACTAATTAACTTTGATGTAAAATTACGTATCTCTTATCAGAACATTTGTATACACACACCTGGCTTATATCTTACAATATCATAAAACTGTGAACGTTACGGTGGCTGAATTGTGCCGTATACACAGTTGATTAAAACATATTTCTGGTTATCTCCTCTAATTAGCTATCGTTTTTCGTATTTTTGTTGTTCAGTCTTTTTTCTCCTCAAGATTTAATGGACCTGTTTCCAGATTTGTTTATTCTCACCTTTTCCGGCAAACAAAGAACACAAATCGGCCAGCGTACGTAGAAAACAAAGGGTACGCACTCATTGTATTCGACTCGAGTTACAACGTAAAATCTACCTATCACTTTTTTGATAGGAAAGGATGTTAATGCATCAGTGTGATATATTTGTAGGCACACTCACATGTCGCAACACAACAGCTTACCATCTGTGATAGGAGAGGGCGCTGAATCATCTGATCAGATTTGATGGAGGGCGCTATGCTTTTAACTAGCTTTATTGAGGGCGCTAGACTATCAAACTAGCCGTGATAGAGGGCGCCACACCATCAGCCTAGCTGAGACAGAAGGCGTAACACAATCAGCCTAACTGTTACAGAGTGGTCCACACTATCAGCCCAGCTTTGATAGAGGGCGCCACACCGTCAGCCTAACTGTGATAGAGGGCGCCACACCACAAGTCCAGCTGTGATAGAGGGCGCCACACCACAGGTCCAGCTGTGATAGAGGGCGCCACACCACAAGTCCAGCTGCGATAGAGGGCGCCACACCGTCAGCCCAGCTGTGATAGAGGGCGACACACCACCAGTCCAGCTGTGATATAGGGCGCCACACCTTCAACCTGACTGTTACAGAGTGGTCCACACTATCAGCCAAGCTGTGATAGAGGGCGCCACACCGTCAGCCTAACTGTGATAGAGGGCGCCACACCATCAGCCTAACTTTGATAGAGGGCGCCACACCATCAGTCCAGCTGTGATAGAGGGCGCCACACCATCAGCCCAGCTGTGATAGAGGGCGCCACACCATCAGCCCAGCTGTGATAGAGGGCGCCATACCATCAGTCCAGCTTTGATAGAGGGCGCCACACCGTCAGCCCAGCTATGAACGAGGGCGCCACACAAGCAGCCTAGCTGTGACAAAAGATGCGTAATATACACAGTCTATGGATTAGATTACGGGTTATGCCGCTGGAAGTAGCCCCAACCCGACAATGCTTCTTAATTACTGGCAATTCTGGACAATCGACCCGTATTTATATGTGAGTACGGGACGTTTAGTCATGAAACATTTGTCTAACCAGGCTAAAACACACAGGATATTCGCTGATCGTTGCCTTCGTCGTTTATTTTTCTATATACTTTTCTTCATCACCGTCACAATTACAAGATTACTGGTTTTCTTGCCTGACTCGCGTTTACTTCAGTTAAGCGGACACGGGTGTCACGCGAAACCGCTAGAACCTAAATAAATGTGGATCGTACACAACGTGCTGTCAATTTCCATGACGGGAAGTTGATTCCTATATTGTCTTTGGTGGTAAGTGCTTATAGTGGCACTAATGGACACACTACGAAACATGTGATTTTACAGCCGATATTTGGAAAAGTGTATGAACACAATGATATCATGAACTTATTGACCACGTGACTTTCAATTTCCAATATTTTCTGCTATAAGGCCATTGAAATAACACAAACTGAGGAAGCGAATTTTCCGTAATCTTTCTCTGACCTCCGAGAGAAAATTGTAATATAGTATCGGAACGCGTCATGACGTCACTTTCGTATTATTTTATTGACACAACATGGAAATGATGTTTACGTGATATCCTCCGTCCTTAATTGTACATTTGTACTAATGTAATGTATGTCATGAAGACCCGTATCATCTCTGTCTCTCGTAAACAGTAAAGGTGTTTACAAGGATAAAATTATATAACGAAGAAAATCAAAATACTCAAATGCTAATGTAAATATAAAGATTGAGTATTTAATGTGTTTTTGGTTCCAGACATTTCAAGGAGTCATATTTGTGCAGTTTTTTTTTTTTTTTGCAAGCTAAGCCAAATGGGAATCGTAAGCATACAGGAAGTGTTATCTTAATGTCCAAACCGGAGGGCAGGCAGCAAAGAGACAAAACGAAAAGGCGAAATCCTGTCAAAGCGAAAATACAAAAAAGCTAGCGGATATTTTAAAAAGCTAAATAATGCCAAAAGGAGAGAAAAAAGTAGCCATTTTCATTTCTACGCTTTGGCTTTATTTTACTTCGGTGAGGCATTTTTTTCGTCTTTTCGCTTTGTTAGGTTGTCGCCTTTTCGTTATTTCGCGTTGACGAATTTTCGTCTTTTCTTAATTTTGTTTTGTTGCTTGGCGTCTTTTCGCGACGACAAAGCAAAATTTACGTTAATTTATATAAACTCTGAAATATGTTATAGCCTTCACCTCTCATTATTATGTATCTTACAGATACAGACATAATATTCTTATGACTTTGTATATCTTTAATCTGCTTAGGACGTTAATCACACCACGAACGATCAGGCGATCAGAAAAAAGCAGAGCTGATGAATATTGACGTACCGAATCATTGTATTACATCAAACATAATAAAAAGAGAAATTGATTGATATACAGCTACAAACACAGTCAATATAGATCAGACGAGGCATGCACTTTTGTAATCGAGCTACTAAACGGAGCTATAAGGCAGGGGGATGTTAGTTGTATGGGTACTTTAACTATTCAGTCTATTCTTAAATAAGGCACAGGGAAACCAATAATCACCAAGGGTCACTTTGTACAGAATCTTGCGACAAATAAATGTATTTTGTATCTGCAAAACTTGCGAGACAACTTTGTTGTACCTGTTCTAAACAAAACTTGTCAGACATATACACTTGTCCCTTTTACTTGTTCCGGTACAAGGCTTGAGAGACAGGTATGTGATACACTTGTCCCTTTTACTTTTTCCGGTACAAGGCTTGAGAGACAGGTATGTGATACACTTGTATCTTTTACTTGTTCCGGTACAAGGCTTGTGAGACAGGTATGTGATACACTTGTACCCTTTACTTGTTCCGGTACAAGGCTTGAGAGACAGGTATGTGATATACTTGTATCTTTTAATTGTTCCGGTACAAGGCTTGAGAGACAGGTATATGATACACTTGTACCTTTTACTTGTTCCGGTACAAGGCTTGATAGACAGGTATGTGATACACATGTCCCTTTTACTTTTTCCGGTACAAGGCTTGTGAGTCAGGTATGTGATACACTTGTCCCTTTTACTTGTTCCGGTACAAGGCTTGTGAGACAGGTATGTGATACACTTGTCCCTTTTACTTGTTCCGGTACAAGGCTTGAGAGAAAGGTATGTGATACACTTGTATCTTTTACTTGTTCCGGTAGAAGGCTTGAGAGACAGGTATGTGATACACTTGTCCCTTTTACTTGTTCCGGTACAAGGCTTGAGAGACAGGTATGTGATACACTTGTATCTTTTACTTGTTCTGGTAGAAGGCTTGAGAGACAGGTATGTGATACACTTGTATCTTTTACTTGTTCCGGTAGAAGGCTTGATAGACAGGTATGTGATACACATGTCCCTTTTACTTTTTCCGGTACAAGGCTTGAGAGACAGGTATGTGATACACTTGTATCTTTTACTTGTTCCGGTACAAGGCTTGAGAGAGAGGTATGTGATACACTTGTATCTTTTAATTGTTCCGGTACAAAGCTTGAGAGACAGGTATGTGATACACTTGTACCTTTTACTTGTTTCGGTACAAGGCTTGATAGACAGGTATGTGATACACTTGTCCCTTTTACTTGTTCCGGTACAAGTCTTGTGAGACAGGTATGTGATACACTTGTATCTTTTACTTGTTCTGGTAGAAGGCTTGAGAGACAGGTATGTGATACACTTGGACCTTTTACTTGTTCCGGTTAAAGGCTTGTGAGACAGGTATGTGATACACTTGTATCTTTTACTTGTTCCGGTAGAAGGCTTGAGAGACAGGTATGTGATACACTTGTATCTTTTACTTGTTCCGGTAGAAGGCCTGAGAGACAGGTATGTGATACACTTGTCCCTTTTACTTTTTCCGGTACAAGGCTTGAGAGACAGGTATGTGATACACTTGTACCTTTTACTTGTTCCGGTTAAAGGCTTGTGAGACAGGTATGTGATACACTTGTACCTTTTACTTGTTCCGGTACAAGGCTTGAGAGACAGGTATGTGATACACTTGTCCCTTTTACTTTTTCCGGCACCATGCTTGATAGACAGGTATGTGATACACTTGTACCTTTTACTTGTTCCGGTACAAGGCTTGTGAGACAGGTATGTGATACACTTGTATCTTTTACTTGTTCCGGTACAAGGCTTGAGAGACAGGTGTTTTGTACCTGTTCAATTTCAAAGGTTGTCCGACATGTATGTTGCACATATTTCGGTACAAGACTTGTGAGCTAGGTTCTTTGTGCCTGATCTGGTTCAAGACTTTGAGACAGGTATGCTACACCTGTTTCGGTTCTAATCTTCTGAAACAGATATATTGTCTATGCATGTTGTACCTGTTTTGGGTAAAATGTACTGTATGTATGTGTGCTTACATGTATATCCGGTGCAAGGCTTTTGAGATCGATGATTTGTCTGCCTTAAAGATTTAGAAAGGAGTGGACTGTAGTGGTTGTTTCAGAGTAATTATTTTCATGATTTATTAACAAAATAATATAAAAGATCTCCATAAAATCGCATTATCATATGCCATTCGGCGAATAGAATTTAGCACCAAATTGTTTTATATAAAGCACCATTAGTATAGCAGTTTCTCAACGCAATGAATCCTATTCATTCAAGGCAAGTATTATGGTTTTCATGTAAACCGCTGCCACCAGTGAAGCGTACGGCTGCCATTCCTTTCGGCCGCCATATTGAAAATCGGCGATTCCTCGGATCATCAAGTAACTCTCATTCCTGTTCCCCTCCAGTGATTCTAACACTGCTTCAAAATCCTTGTCAAAGGCTTTGATTTCGTTTGATTTTGCAAACAACATTCTCAAGCGTTCATCATTATCCAAACAGCTTACGCTTCCTATTGCCCCACACACCACAGTTGTGCCCCTTTCCGACAACTCTTCAGTAGTTTCGACTCCTGAAACACCAATGGATGGTTTTTGGAATTTAGAGTCGATTTCATTGAGCTGTTCAAGTGCACTTGTTATAAGATGTTCCAGGGGATTCACACCGCGAACATTTTTTTCGTTGAGTTTCTTGACGATTCGTCTTAAAGTGTCATCATGGCTGTGCCAAGTTCTCGGTGAATATTGGAGACCTTCTTTACCAACCTTTTCTCTTGTGTAACATTTTGTATACATGGCGTTAGTGCCATTAGACGGCATGGATACGACTACGTCACCCAAGGTCACGAGGTCATCAGTCGTCATGGGGTCATCAGGGTCATGTTGGTGCAACACTCCTCCTCCAACGCCTACCAGAAACACGTGCTCTACTTTGCTGAAGGTCCCTAAAAGCATCAGTTAAATCATTAGACTATTTCGAACATGCAGGTCTTATTAAACAATAGGAAGTATAAATCCTGTATACCGAGTTTGTCATTAAGCAACCATATTGTCATTGTCCAAACAAAAGTTAGTTTGACCTCATGGGTATTACTCGAATGTTTCCGATAAAATACAATCGTGCAAAGGGGGATAATTCCCATTTTGACAGAAGTTTTAAGCAACGCTCTATGGAATCATTCCCCTTAGTACATGTATTTATATCACGGTACTAGCCTTTATATAGCCGGTTAAATATTGAACACGTATCACCAGGAATTCTACACGTGGTTCGAAATTTCATGTTATTGTCCTGGATGAACAAACTCACAACAGTTCTGATGTATTTACCAAAGAATTCAGGTAAAAGCTTCATTTACAGAATGGCATAGCTAAAAGCTAAAGAAATGTTCAAACAATAAACAAAATATTGAAATTCGGACTTTTCTTGAAACTTACACAAAACACTTCAGGGGCGGATCCAGGTTTTCCTAAAAGGGGGGGGGGGCGAGACTTTTTTCTCAATAGTCAACGGTGTGCTGCCGAAAGCAGTACCACGAGCGCGTAGCGCGAGTAGGGGGAGGGTACGGGTGGGAGTCGTCCCCCTCCCGTAAGGGGGGTTTGGGGGATCTCCCCCCAAAAAATTGTGTTTTCTAGAACGTCTCAGAAGCGATTTCCCGTGTTCTGAGGATTGTTTTTATGTTTAATTAACAAAAAAAAACCCACCATATTTTAAGTATGGCGCCTGAACTTAGAGTAAAGAAAGTACATATAGTTCGATATCGGGGCGCCTGATCATGCATTGAAAATGTGTTCACGCATAGTGCCGGTGGTACTGAATAAAGGGTCTGTTTAACCTATATACTGTAGCTAGTAACAGACAGACGTTTACATAATTACCCAGGAGACGTGTAACGGAGTTCCCCGCAGCTATGTTGGATGCCTCGACGTCCCCGGGGGTACATGGCAGCTTGGTGGATACAACCCGGTGTTTCCCGATCCGCCCTATAGTGTACACTTGTGACTCTCCTACAGGAAACAATGACCACCTTAGCTTTAAAGGGTGACACTATTTATACCATTACAACGGTCGGTGTTACAATATTTCCATATATTATACTTAAAGGAAGACATTTATACACATTAGGTTTTAACTATGTTTCTCCTCAAAATCCTTGCTTCAAAAAAGAAAGAATGAAAAAAAAAACCAAAACCGTGTAAATAAGGGGCATTGGATCATTAAGCGATTTTGTTAGTTTGGAAATTACTCTAGGCTTCTCAGAGTTAGCTCCCTTCCTACTGTTATGAGTATAATGATATTATTAAAAAATGAATGTGATATTAACAAAATATATCCCAACTACTGATTCATCTCCCTTAGTACAAATTGTTATATTGACACAACCTGATTAATCAGGAAATACTCTACGTGTCCGCTAAACTAGTTACCATACATGTGAGCATGCAAGACTAAGTAATGAATTCGTGCCTATTATGATTACTACGTTTTATTAATGACTTATTTATTTAACTATTCTACTTGTATTAGATAGCCTCACCGATTCTGCAATGCATTGCTGTTCAACACAAAGACACATTCGAATTGTAGGAAATATTGATGTGTGTCTTAAATAAAATACTAGTAAGTACTGAATGGCTTCTAACTTGACGCAACTTAACATATAATGTAGTTACTTCACTTAGATACAAATGTAATACTTACCGACAGTGATTTGAGAAACTCTGGCTGATGAAGTGGCCGATAAACTATACATTGTAAGAGTTATCGTTCTTACTGCTTGTTACTACTATGTTTTCAAAATTAAGCGATTTGATTTATATTTTTTTCTTTTCATTTTTTTTTTATCAAAAACCTGAAACATCGAACAATATTATAATAAAGAAAAATAGATTGAGTAAAAACATTTAAATATATTCATATTTTTTATAAATTATGTTTTGTTAAATGTTTCAGTAACCATTATTCCGATTGGATGCCGTTTCGTCTACATATAAACCGATTGATATTAAAGTGGTCAATGCCAACATTTGTGAGGCCTACCTTCTGTTTTACACTTGACGAATGTGGTCCTGTTCTCAATCATGGCATCCACTGCAAGTTTTTCACAGAACAGGGTAGTAACTATGGCAATGTTCGGCTGTTCTCTCGAACTGAGGACCGGCATCACCTTCACCAGTTTCACTTCTGTAAATCAAACATGGCCGACAGTTGATCAATGACGCTTACAAAAAAGGTAAGACAGCGTTATTCACCATATTGAACATACACAATCTAAAATAGTATATCCTGGTCTGGTGTAGTCCCTGTAACTCACCGTCCTCTTTGTGTGCGGGCCCTCCGCCATGTTTCCGCATCCAATGTCCGTCAACCACCTCCTTTATCAAACCACGTTCCTGGAGTTCCGCCAGCACCAGTGCGATGACCAGAGGATCAGATACATGTATTTTACACTTGCTACAAAACAGCAAAAAAATCGTTAAATGTCATTCTCTGTTAAAAATACTGTAATTGTATTGACTTTGAATTCTCTATACGGTAAAGTGTTTTTTGGGACTCACATGAGTCATGCTTGTTCCTGAGAGACGCATTTTTTTTCAGAATTTCAATACTTTGAATAAAATGTCCATGACTCGCCCCAAACAAGTTCCACAAAATAACAGCGATATACAAATACTTCGTGCGATATGAGAACGAGATTTATGGAACACATTCATGTACATTTGTACAGTTATAAGGTTAGACGTGTCACATGATTACCGGACGAGATCTTCTATTTTGACGACATTCGGAAAAGCGTCCTCCAGTAAATGCAACATCCGGTATTTCCTCGCCAGCCACATGTACTGCTCCCTGATCCGAGCCCTTTTGGCAATTCTTCCTGCTTCGACTTCCGGGTCTGAAGGAGATTAGCCAGAAACACAGCTAACTTGTAGATACAAACGGATTCAGTAGGCATATACTGACCATGCTTATAGCATAATCGATATCAATATCAAAAACAGTACTTATGACAGGACATTATCAATAACCGAGATCATAATATTGATTTTGTGTGCGTCTCCTAATTTAATGTTAATACACAGCCACATTGTTTTCTGCTACACATCATTGGGCATACGTCTGAAAGCACCAGTGAGATATGGAGTGTCACGGATCAGTAATCAGTAGAATGTCATGGTTCAGTGAACAGTGGAGTGTTATATTGTAGATCAGCGAGATGTGAAGCGTCTACAGCAGCAGATGACTACAAAGTTCGTCTGCTATTGGGTATATACATCATCAACATCATATCGTGAGGGAAAACTAAACGAAGAATTCCCAAATCGTTCAATCGTTATTCAGAGACATGCTGAAGAATTTGGTGCGGTTTTAAGCCATTGATATGCATGACGTCATAGCGATAATAATCACTAGTATTGTTCAATTGTAAATGAGCAAGTAAATGAGTAAGTGTAAACTCATTGCAGTGCTGTAATCATGGAGGCGTGCCAATCCAACAGAACGTCGAGCTAATTAGACAATGAGTTTATTAGATGTGCCTAGGGAGACAAGCAGAGCAGGAAACAATAGACAAAAGATACAATACAATGGATATAAGAGAAAAGAAACGGAAGATCAGAGTGAAATATAAAAATAAAGGTATTAAAGTATGCCGAAGGGTCAAACAATCAATTTTGCTCTCATTGGTGTTCAAAGGGGAGGTAACGAAGATGACTCGTCTCTTGCTATCATGCAGAAAGTACAAGTCTCATAGTTTCCCTTAGTCCTGCAGATAATGACATGTTCCAGAAATGGTGGTACATGATTTAACAGTAGACAATATACATCGCTGTGTAGGTAAAATAATCAAGATGACAGCTGTAGGTAAGCAAGTAAATTATGTTTCAACATTAACAGCATGCAAATTGCAATATGCTGTCAAGGCCAAAATTGAAATTAAATACCTTCTTCTTTGTAATCAGCTGTAAAGGAAATGTTTAAATAACATACTTTGACATTGTAAATCAATAAGGACAGCATGACACACAATTTCTGATATTTTACAATATGTTCGTAACACACCAAGTATTACAAGAAGCATTTTGGGTATTTATTTCGTTTTCTATTTCTTTCTATTTCAATAAATAATACAAAGTATTTCGACATCTTTAAAACATAAAAACAAATTTAACTTTCATCAGATATATGGCCTCATACCTAGAAGTTCAGCGAACTCCCAATGGCCCTTAGAGGACTTGCTGGTGGCGACAGCTAAGCAATTGACCTTGAACTGTCGTTTAGGGAGCACGTGCCAACGAAGGAATCTTCCATGTCCATATTGAGCGCCTCGTCCTACCTCCAAATGCTGATGTGCCCAATTGATCCAAAAGTAGCGGAAGTTTTCTTCACTGACAATATTCATTGTCAAACTTTCCGCCCGGACGGGGCCATTCGCACTCTCCCGAATGTAAGATTTGGTGTTGCCTTCAGCACCGATCACGATTTCATGAGCTTTGTTGTTTACGTCACCATAAATTGAGGACAATACGACGCGCACGTCACAAGCTGCCTTCACCTTGAAGGTTATGAAAGATTTCTGGTTGATACATACTTCCGGTACAAAACGGAAGGAGTTCGCTGCTGGTGTTACCACAGTGGTAAAACTGCCTGAGGAAACAAATGAAACAATAAAGTGTATATTTACGTCATTGCTTGACCCTTAGCCGTACTAATACAAGTTGTTTGCATCTCCTTTCACTACACAAACTATTCGTAACATAGCCCATATACCTCCGGTATTTAATGAATATACAAAACACATGCTTGCAGGTTTTGTCGTTGCGGGATCCTTAGAGATCAGATAAGACAGTGCTTTATAACTTATATATCAAATCACCTAAACTCGCCGCTTTACAGACCAATAGTTCTCCCTCAACCAGTATAGTTTTTCTAACTCTCGAAGCAATGGATAAATCTGCCAGGAGTTGGTTACTGACTTATGGGTATTATTGATTAATTACAACGCCATATACAGTTTTGGGACCGCACAACGCACCAAAACTACGGTCCAGGTACATGTACAAAGTGGTTATGTTAACCTGTATACGGGATTGTGTTGTAATTTTACATGTGTCGATTAAGTTTGTTTAAAAACACAGAAAGTACAATTTCTAAATATGAGAACGAATAGACAGAAAGATAAGTTAATAGAGGTTGCTAGAATATAGAAACATACGTAAACATCAAGTTTATATGTTTAAACATGAAACCGTATATATTGTTGAGGCATTCCTCAATTTACACCAACCACGATTGTTATCGCACAACGTCCGTCCGTCGTGCGCACATATGTGCGCAAGCAATGATCGTCCAGCTTTTTATCGTTCGCCCATCGTGCACACACCGTTCACACACCGAGCACACACCGCACTTCGTGTAACGTTGTGCGATCCCACAACTGTAACAAGGCTTTGGCCGTCCTCTTTAGTTGTGATGCTACGATTCATGACAATATTGCTTCCCAAATCGGAAACAGAAGTAATGTATTTCTAAGAGAAAACTAGTTTCTAGATATGTATGAACGTTATGGGAAAGCACGTCCTCAAACCTGTGATGGCTTTTTATCCTGTTTATCTAGCTGTCAGAAGTTAATTTCAAACTGTAAAACCCTCTCACGTCGTGTCTTTATACGATTTGAAAATTATCTAACTCAAGTTAGTTCAACAGGAAAACCAACCAGCATCCGCGATACGTCTAGGAGAGATATTATTGAATTCTTTCAAAAGAAAATGATCTTAGTTGTTTGTACATTCCTTTTACAGGTCTAGTAAACAAAGAGACCTACGTATGGGAGGGATGGCATCCTCGGGGGAATGGTCCTGTGTCTGTTGAACTTGTAGCTCCACTCTCTGTATCACAGAGTACTCCCTTAGCAGCACCAGGGCTTTCTTAATGAAACCTATGTAGTCTGAAAAAACATCGTAAAGATCTTAATGGATCATTTCAAATACTAAAACTCCAAACAGGTCTTACAATGTGAGACATCGTAAAGATCTTTATGGAACATTTCAAAGACTGAAGCTCCAAACGGGTCTTACAATGTTAGACATCGTAAAGATCTAAATTGAACATTTCAAAGCCTGAAGCTCCAAACAGGTCTTACCATGTTAGACATCGTAAAGATCTTTATGGAACATTTCAAAGACTGAAGCTCCAAACAGGTCTTACAATGTTAGACATCGTAAAGATCTTAATGGAACATTTCAAAGACTAAAACTCCAAACAGGTCTTACAATGTTAGACATCGTAAAGATCTTAATGGAACATTTCAAAGACTGAAGCTCCAAACAGGTCTTACAATGCGAGATGCCTATTATAGTCTTAAACATCCTAATGATCTTATTGAAACTTTTATGGTCTAAAACACCATTCAAGCACTTCAGCAACTCTTTATACTGTACACCACTTTATATTTGCAAAATGTTGTTTATTGCGTAAATTCACAAATGGAAGAGTAGGAAAGAGAGACAAGAGAGGATAAAGACTCCAGTGCTGCATTTTGGGCCTTGAATTTTGTTTCAATTTCAAAGCAAAATATAGCTAGGGTCATTGGAAGCCACCCGTTCCTACCTTTGGGGAAGTCAGCAGGGTTCATGAGCTCCCGGAAGTAGTCCGTGTACGTGTTTTTCTTCACCAGTCCGTCCTCCGTGCCGCGGAACCAGAAACTCAGCGTCCAATGATCCTAGGGATAAAATTATACAGAGACGGGAAAGAGTCACATGATAGACACTGTTACCCTGAAATAATTAAGGAATATCTGTTGTTTTTGTCAAGGTATATGTTCCAATGTCTCATCATACTAGTGTTACGTTATAAGTGTCACGTCACTTTTATCACCTGCATAATCAATTCAATAATTTTGAAATTGTAAAATGAACATTATCTATTCGTTTAGCCAGGTTGTTACTCTCTATTCGTTTAGCCAGGTTGTTACTCTCTATTCGATTGGATTGAGAGTTCGACAAGTGTTCTACGTTCCGTGTTAAGGTACTCGGAGACTATGTCTAATACGCAAGAACGTACAAACCTGCAGAGATTGGTTGTGTTCGCCTTCATTGACAAGATAGGCCAAGAACTCGAGTCTGCCCTCAGCTGGTCCCGTGTCTACTAGACCTGATAACAAGGACATACCAAGAAAACGTGTTGTTATTTCCAAAATGATTACGTTTAAATATCTGGCACACTATATTAAAACGTTTTGACAATAAATGATTCATTGTTATGATACTTCGTCAATGCCTCAACATCGTCTACAGAATAATGTGTAGAGAATCAAATCAGACCTATTGTCTGCGTCATTGAAACCCGAGATTTCCAAACTACTGTAAGACCATAACTCTAGGATTTCGAATACCTAGCCCAGGACCTTGACCATACCTGCCGACGTCTTGTTGATAAGGATGCCTTTGTATGAACCCCCCGCGACGTGGTGCACTTTGCTTTTGTCTATCTCACTAATAAAGGTCCGCTCAAGTCTCATAATGGCCTTCCCATCTCGCTTGGCTGCGGTCATCACGATTTCTACAAGGGAATAATATCATTATTACAATGTGTTAGTGTTACAAATGTTGTCATACCTCTTTGTCTCATTCTAGGGATGGATAAGCGACAGGTACTGTGACATCATTTTGATTTACAGACTGTAGCATATCCGCTTGGAAAAATATTTGTTTTTGTGATGTGCACGTGTCAGAAAAATAATGTAGATATGGTAAGTTATTTTTGTTCACAACTAGCCCACACCTAGTGATATCTAATCTTACAATCAACAGTATAGCAACAGAGGGAACACTATCACTGTATGATTTACATATGTGTTTAAAAAGATATTCTTTAAAGGAGATCTCTATATCTGTTCTCTATAACGAATGCATGTAAATTATCATGTCTGTTAAAACGATCTGAGAAGGGGAGACAACTATATGTCGAAAACGATCCGTAGTGAAAAGGGAGACAACTATATATTTGTTAAAACACCATGTAAAAGGGAGACAACTATATGTCAACAACGATCAGTACACGATGTCTGAATGGTAGAATATCACACACATATGTACATATTCTATCTAAATTAAATAATAAATTGAGTTGTATATTGCCTACTTTTTCAAACTTTAACATTCTAGTCAACATAAGTTGTATATTGATTGTTTCTCTTCAATTGAACTCCGACCCCCAATTAAAACATTTTTTTTTGGATGCAATGGTTCTATAAGGAACGTACGGATTCAGATAGTCTATCGTGATTGTTCTTTTCCACTTGTCTATATTGATGCAATCAACAGTAAAACCCGCTGGTCACACTTCGTGACACGAAATGGCTTCACAACATTCTGAAAAACACTAAATTGATTTTGTGGGAGGAAGGACCGCATACATCTCTATATGGCTGACTGTTATGTAACAGTTTGTGAAATGGCTGTACAATTGTATTAAAGGAACTTTTTCCTAAAATGTATATCTATTTATTTATTTGCCAATAGTTTTTCTATATAGTCGTCGTCCAGCGACGATTGTTGGAAAAAAATGATGACAATAAACTCCTTCCTTGATGATACTACATGTAACATACGAGATTCTTTATCATTGTTCTAGAAAAATATCATCCTTTTTATATCATTGCAGACAAAGTCTCTTTAAAGCACGAGCTGTACGTGTTACATACGGCCAACACGTCACTGCAGACTTTATTTACAGGCCACGGGTGAATGACCCACAGAGGACACGTGTTCGCTCTCACAAGTCCTGGTGATCCTCATTTGTACACAACCGATGGCTAATTAATCCGATGTATTTTAAGACAGGTATTGATCTGTGACTACACGTGAGGAAGTAGTTTGTATCAATTCTTGACTACGATGGTTTGCAATGAAAAATTCATTGATTACAAAGTGGATCACCCGGTAGCTTTAGGTACATACAGAACATGTCTTATTCTTGAATCATTATCAAGATCACGATTCTCCGATCCCCCCTATCGTCTGTCAAGGGTAACTACTCGGTCAGCCCAAACAAAACAACTGGCCGGATTTAATACTAGGTCCTGATAGAGTAAATAAAGGATGTAATAAGGAAACAACTCTGCCGAAGTAATAGTTAAAACATAGCTCTGATGTCATCCATTGTTCTACAATTCCACCACGTAGACATGTGAACGGTAGCAATCCAATACGTTACCTGTTGTTGTAATATCGTTTTCGATTACAGTCCATTATCAAATTTAATGGACAGTGGTAACGAAGGAGAAATAACATTTTGAAAGAATGATACACGGTACTAGGGGACGGCAACTCTGAAGGATGAGAATACAGCTTATCAGTACTCGTCAGCGATTGGGAGGGTCTAAGGTTAAAGTTAACATGTTTGTCAATATGTATCCTGACAATGCTTGCATTAAGTTCGATCTTTATGTCCATACAAAGTATCTATAGCAGTCATTTAACACCGCCAGAGTGATAAACTACAGTCAAGAGACATTGTTACCGAGCTACGTGTAACATTGCTGTTTCTGTTCACACTCCTATAATAGTGGTATGCATTTTCTATAGAAGTGGTAGTTTTCCTTTAAGGACAATTGACAGTGTTACATTAATGTTTATAAACCGTTTTATGAAAGAAATGTAAAAAGTGTAACTTTTGAGTCTTTCTTTTAACACCTGTATAGTTTTAGTTAACCTGTACTGTAGAATTCAACATAAACTCTATCAGAGCATGTTTTAAATAAAGGCGACTTCTTGTTTGGAGTTTTCCATTTAAATGTGACCTCGAGCACGTGCATACAGATTGACAACACGAGATACTTTACACATGGAACACACAACCTCGACCGGGGAGCCTCTACCTTGTGCCTCTAACATGGGCGTGTCAAATGTAACTACTATTTACCGGAAGTGAACTTCCCGTACGAAGTGTTTCGACGCTTTATGCTATTACATTAAGGAAGTATTCCTGTATAACTTGTTGTGGGGGTACTCAGCATCCTCCGCTGGCCTGTATCTATGTTAACAGTGTGTGACTCAAGTACTTATCGTACTCAGCATATGTTCCCGTTTGGACAAACAATAGATATTTAACAAGGAATGTGATAATTTAAAAAAAAAATAGAATCGTTGTGTAATCTTGATATGAAGACAAAAATGTGATCCGCCTTCAAAGTTAACCGGATTTAGTACTTAAGAAAGTTATTTAAAAGTACTTGTTTTTGTAGCCCCGGTCGCAAGGACTTAACATATGATGTCCTCTGTGCTCCAAAACAGGAAGCATCATACTGAACTCAATGTGTGAACAAAATTAAATCCTGACCGTCTTTACACGGAAAACATATTAAAAAAATCTCAAAGTTTTGGACTTAAGTACGCTGTCTTATTTGTGCCGTTTCGTTTTTTGTTTCGTTTTTTCGACACGAAAAGAGAAATTTAGCAATTTTCAAATCTCGTTGTAACGTGTTTTCGGTGCAAAAAGATGAAACAACGAAATGCATAAATCAGCCAATATACTTAAGCCTCCAAGGAAATCCAGTTACAAAATTAGACATCGGTACAGAATCAGGGGAAGTCATCCATCTAACATCAAAGTTAAAATGACGTGAACACATTTATGTTGCATACGAGTGCCATTCAATAAATTTTGTCACTAGTGTCAGGAATCACAAATATGTTGTATACAGTTGGATCTTTCTGTCGCACTCCTTCGTATTATCCCCTATAGCAGAAACACAATTTCGCAGACGCGTTATCAGTGATGTAAATACTGCGCGGTAGTCTCACCTTTGTATACTGGCACGACACAAGAAGATTGCACAACCCAGAGCACTTCTAGAGGCATTCCGTTTCCAAGAGATCATTTTCTTGATAAAGGAAGAAATCACAGGGACTTAGATCTGGTGAATAGGTTGGGTGGATCTATGCTACCTTTTCTTACAACATGTACTTCGAAAACGCCTGTACAGTTATGCTTTTTTGGGATGACGTATTATCCTGAATTAGCTGGATGTCATTCCTTTGCCTGGACACTTTTTATGTATAATCTTTTGAAAGGCTTCAATACCTTGTTTCTGTAAAACGTGTCAGTAATTGTTTTTCAAGCCAAATTGAATTGCAAACAATGGCATACAGAACTTTCTTGGCGCCTTTTATACTTCTTGCAATCACTGCTTGATTTCTCGACAACCATCGCTTATTATTTATGCGCTTCTGGGATTCAAAGTAATAGACCAAAGTCTCATATCCTGTAAGTAACTCGGATAGTTTTCTTGAGTTGCAATTACCGTATTTTTTCAAAATACCTTTAGCTTATTTCGAACGTTTGGGGTTTTGTTTAGGTTTCAGCAGATAGGGGATCCATTGGGCACAAAACTTCTTTAATTTAAAGCGCTATGTCAGAATATAATGTATACTGCCTTCTAAAATGTTAGCCATAGGAGCCATTTCAGAAATAGTGTACCGACCATCATCCTAAATTCTTACTTTCACATCTGCATTGTACCTCGTTGATGTCAACTTTGCCATTTTTGAATTTGTTCACCCACTTTAAAATAGTTCTCAATGTGACGGTAGAGGCGCCCTACATGCTGCTCAACGCTGTATGTATCTGATTTGGCGCTGAAGCACACTGTGCTTTGATATAGGAAGATATTTCAGATTTAGTCTCAAACCTCATTTTAGCATTGAAAAGTAGTCACTAGTCACGAGTGTATACCATTCAACAATGAATCACTCGTTCAATTCTTGTTGAATGATGTAGAAAGTGTGCACGTGCTTTGTTCTTTAAATGCCTTTTTAGTCTGCAAGGGCACTTAACTATTTATCGACCGTTCGTACGGGAGCTTAGAGATGGCATAAATAGCATCCAAATGTAGGTACACATCAGTGTTTCAGACCAAAAGTACGAGGAAAGGAAATGCAGACAATATAATTGGATATAAGGAACATTTATCAGTCCAGAAATGATGTATTAGGTTGCGCTAGGTTTACACTGAAAGCGTATGTGTTGACTGAACTATTCATTGTACTCTATCAAAATGATGATAATAATGTTTGAAAAGCGAAACCCTGGAATGAACACTGTTTGATATATCATTTCACCAATGATTTCTGTTAGAGTTAGATCTCAGCATTATCCCCAAGGGGATAACTGCACATGGAGCTAAATGTAGGTCGACACAGAGCGTTATTGATTCCACAGCAGTATTCGATCGCTTCACAGCTATCAAACTATCCAACGTAGCGAAGGGACGCAACTCTAGCTAGCAGAGACAATACGTGTTTTGAAATGATAACATCTTTGTCGTTGCCCGAAAATTTGGAAATAGTATAAAAATAACATGGAAGGAGATAGAAGGTAAACATATATACCTGTATATCGTTTCTATGCGCTCAGTAGAGATAGTGTAGACTCTATACAAATATGATGTAACATGTTAAGAATATTGACATTCTCAATTCACCAGTGTTGCAATAGCGATAGCGAATTGTGGCTGAAATTTCAAAACATTAGTGTTGTATTATGTTCTGCTAATCTGAGAACTACACGGGCAATACCTGAGATATTGACGCAAGCCATAAACACCACAACAACTTACCTTCAGAATCGGCCATCTTTAGTAATGAAATGTCTGGTTCTTCCATTGTCACAACTCCTCTGTGTGTCTTAAATGGTCCTGTTTACGTATCACGCAGCACGCGCAGCATCATCTAGGTCCGGAGTAGAATGAGGACCTAACTATAATCAACATACACCCTAGTCAAGGGCTTGTTGGTGTCGCCTCGTATTGAAGCCATACCCAATGTGTCGTCTGCTTGTGTACAGTATCGTACATTGTTTGTGTACTGTGAATTTAATGTCAGCAGCGTTCGAGCGCTTTACCTACAAAGATACCTAAACATACACGTTTATAGACGTTTTAATATCGGATTATCGCCTGATTTGACAATCACAAGGGGATTGACTTGATACTCAGTGAAAGCTTAAGGGAAATTAAATATGATACAAACACGCCATCATCCTCTTGTCCCTCTTACTTAGACAACCGTCCACTGCAAAAACTGATCCAACAGGGGTAAAGTCAGTTTATATATTGATTTCAAAAATGGTATGTTTTGATCACTCACATAGAACATACGGTAAAACACGAAAAGGAGCAAGGGCGTCTTAGTGACGAAATTTCCTTTGATTTTCAAGTCAATGATTTCTAATTATAACATCCCAATTTTGTGATTTATTTCATGTTGTAAATATAATAGCAAACCAACATTTAAATTACCCTCGTTTATAAATGGGTTTACCTTCACAATACTTCAGTAGTTGCTTATCGGATACCAACCATGCCGTATATTACCTTCTACTGTCATGTAGACATTCGTTGTAGGTTGCTTTCATGCCGTTACTCAATATTTTTAATCAAAACAAAATCCCAAAAGATACTTCAGAGAAACATACGTACACCATTTGCATCAGTCGTGACATTGGAGTAAAATAATATTTCGGCAAATATTTCTCAGTTATTTCTGTCAATATCGGACTGTTTTCCTGGATTGTAAGAGTGACCCAGTAATTCAGTTACCATTACCAATATATTGCTCTACCTAACAATAAAATTAACAACGGCATCGAATGGAATTTAATGAAACTTTATTGTAATGAAAGGGAGAATCTATGTTCCTTCTGTATTGTATAAAGTTAGATATTCATCACAGATTAGAAAAAAACACAACCTTTTAACTGGTAACTTTACCTGTAATTGTGCAAACACTGTTTATCTATATTCTAAGTGTCGGTGAAACAAAAAAACATTGGTGAGGATTTTAGTGATATAAACAACGGTAGTGATATATTTAGTGAGACTAAACAACGGTAGTGATATATTTAGTGATACTAAACAACTGGAGTGATATATTTAGTGAAACTAAACAACGGTAGGGATATATTTAGTGATACTAAACAACGGTAGTCATATATTTAGTGAAACTAAACAACAGTAGTGATATATTTAGTGAAACTAAACAACAGTAGTGATATATTTAGTGATACTAAACAACGGTAGGGATATATTTAGTGAAACTAAACAACAGTAGTGATATATTTAGTGAAACAAAACAACGGTAGTGATATATTTAGTGATACTAAACAACGGTAGTCATATATTTAGTGATACTAAACAACGGTAGGGATATATTTAGTGAAACTAAACAACGGTAGTGATATATTTAGTGAAACTTAACAACGGTAGTAGTATATTTAGTGTCAAATGTTTAGGTATTTACAACATTTTAGGATGAGATTAGAAAGTTCCGGCAATACTGACAAATACGTTAGGTTTAAAATTTTATGACATTTAAAAGGCCGATTGTCATTTAAGCTGTGCATCAATGCGTACCATATAACTGCTACATATACACTCATGAGAAGTAAGCAAGAAGCATACTGGTCGTGTCCGTGTTCACAGCCTCTATATACATATGCAAGGTATAGTGTGTATGCTTTACATGCCTCGTTTACATGTATGTACATGTACTTACGCCACAATGGTAACGCCCTTTTTTTCTAGAAGATATAAATATTTCAAGTAATATACAATTTACATGTAAATAAAAATTATAAATAGATAACATTTCGATGTATTTTGATCACAAACAACAATTTCTTCTGAGAAATCTCAGTGTCCCGGACAGTGCACCAGTTCAGTAGGAAGCCGACTACACATTAATCGATTGACTATGATGATTAAACCATAACAATGCTTGTTTTATCTAATGTCCCGCTAGGCAATGAGTGTATGCTGCAAATGAGGCGTTGTAAGTAAACTATAACGGACTAGGATTGGTTTCTTCAATGGCCACCTCCAAGAGAACACAAAAAGTCGTCCAATTCTGCATGATTCCACAGAATCTCAAACGTCATTGAAGTGGGATAGAACGCCTTTCCTCGGATCGACTGGTTGGCCATATCATCAAAATATTGAGAGAGGGTTTGCGTCTCTAGTTTAACCAGACAATGCATGCCCTAATCAATTTCCTCTGTATCAGCATTATATTATGTATATCGGTTTAATGAATACGTTCTACCAGTGATATGTCGATGTAGTGAATTTATTTTTACCAGTGTTATATGTATCTCGCTGTACAGTGAAAACGTTTTACCAGTGACATGTCAATGTAGTGAATTTATTTTTACTAGTGTTGACTCGTTGTAGAGTGAAATCGTTTAACCAGTGATATTTCGATAGAGTGAATGTGTTTTACCAGTGTTATCTCGTTGTAGAGTGAAATCGTTTAACCAGTGATATTTCGATAGATTGAATGTGTTTTACCAGTGTTATCTCGTTGTACAGTGAAAACGTTTCACAGGTGATATGTCTATGTAGTGATTTTATGTTTACCAGTGTTATCTCGTTGTACAGTGAACACGTTTTATCAGTGATATATGGATGTAGTAGATATGTTTAACTAGACATTCGTCGGTGGGTTGAATGTTCGATGGTGGTCCTGAACAAGCTTGATTTAATATCAGGATATTTAAAAAATAGATTTTGAAAGAGTTGTAGTTCAAACAGCAGACACCATCCATGTAACTTTGCGTTAAATAAATAGACCAGTCAGCCTACGGTTTGACCCGCACCTAATTCCAACAAAGACCATTCTTGTTGGATTGCACTCAGAATATATGTAATTAAAACATACGAAAAGTCTAGAAAAATCTAAATAGGGGAACATATTGGATTTTCCGATTAAAGTGTGCAAAAATATGTTGATAATATATTGCGCGTATGTGTAGCCGTAGGTGCAAAGGGAGATAAATCCTACCAGCAAGCACGTTTGTTTATGTTCTGTGAGCAGACTTATTTATGGAGACTTGACAGAAAGCTGTTGTAAATATGGTGAGTGGTGACAGACATTGAAATATAATGATCACTTACACTGTATATATACATGTAACATGATATAAAAATGTTATTGTGTATGCTGAGTGTACGTGTTTGACTTGGTTGGAAAGTGTTGTCTGCTCGAGTCCCGAATCGTAAAACCGTGCCGTACAACAGGTTCATAAACACTGAAATTTTACCAAACTAAGTGATGTCAGGGTTCAAAACAATTATTATACCAGAGTTCGATTTAATTTTAACCGTGTAGAAACGGTTATTTGATTAAAATTATTTTTTGAATGACTGGACCAGTGTATATTCCGTACGAAAAATAAAACTATGGAACCCTATAGTTGCCGTACACACTGGTTTGATCCGGTCTACGACATACATAATGTAGATGGTAATTAAATGTACTTAACAGTTTGTTGTGCAGGTATACACGTCATTGCAATTATAAGTGACATTTAAACACATACAAATGACATTGCTTATTCGCTTATTGACTTAGTCTTTTTATGGGAGCGTGGGGGGGGGCTGCAAGTTCGACACCACGAATTATATATATATAAGGGTCCTGACGGTATTTAATTGGACAGACGCTTGAGATACCGTCAAAAGCAATATAATACGATACGGAATGGTTTGTTTTTTGTTTTTGTTTACTATTTATGGAAGATAGGACATTTTCCCAAAAAATAGTGCGAATACGTTACTTAAAAAACACATTATAGACCGAACTTACCCAGCTCTAAAGATCTCCCTGTCCACTTAAGTTTGCAAGCACCATCATTCCAAAAAATAGATAAGGGGATAGGGGGGAGACAGACGACAATACAGAGGATTTCGCAGAAATACAACAGGCCCAAACCACAGATTCTACCAGAGCGAGTAATGATGATGACATGGATTCGGAGCCTAGTGGCGATTCGATAGTTTCATCTCTTGAGGATGAAAGGAATGATGACCTAGCTGAGGCAGGAAGAATGTACGATATGCTGTTGAACGGAGAGATATCAACAAGAACCGTATGTGAAGATGATGTACTTGACCGCATTAAAGAAGTACTGGACTCTTACAAAGCGTCCATGGGAACTCTTCGCACAGCTACTTTGTGGATGCAGTACATGGAGATGATCGACATCCTTCGACAATTTATTAAAGCGGAACGCACAGGAAATTGGGATCTTCACCTACAGACAGTGCAAGAAATGATGCCTTTCTTCGCTGCATCCGGCCACAATCTCTACACCAAGTCCGCATACATGTACCTCCAAACTATGCAAGCACTTGAACGTGAACATCCTCTGATCCACATGGCCTTCCAAACAGGACACCATGTAATACGCAGAAGTGATCGGTACTGGGCTGGACTTTCCACTGATTTGATTATCGAGCAAGTGCTGATGAGGAGCGTGAAAACATCTGGTGGATTGACAAGAGGTCGTGGAATGACCGAGGGTCAACGGGCACAATGGCTTCTCTCGATGCCATCATGTGCGGACATGAACAGTGCCATACAGGAATTTACTGATGTAAACTACCACACCAGCGAGCAACACAAGGATAGCGGACGATCCAGGAAAGAGAGGGATAAGAAGGATACGATGACGTTCCTCAACTTCTTTGTGGACCGGAAACCGTTCCAAGAGGATGTCCATCTGCGCAATATCGAGACAGGAGAAACTGCCAACGTAAAGGTAAATGCAGACAAGGCTCGGGACGTCGGGAACAAAATCTTGAAATCTATGGAAGGTCGGAATGTTGCGGAACATGTCTTTAAAAGAAGTGAGCAGGCAGTTACCCTTAGTACCAAATCGACAATTAAAGTAGACGGTGAAACAATCCACGTTGACCCTCAGCTACTTTTTCAAAGACTTATTGCCGCAGCAAACCGACTTGATGAGGACGCCTCCCATATCTTTGGCTATGAACTGAGCAGTTACCCG